CGCGCATTCACCTGCTATTCACAAGACAATTGGATGGAACTGTTGCCTGTAGCCCAACTGGCATTAAACTCACGACCGAGCTCAGCGATTGGGGGACTGAGTCCGTTTTTCCTTCGACATGGATATGATTTAGAACCTCTGACAGAACCCACGCCCACCTTAGAAAATAGTTCCCGACATCCAGGACGGCTATCTGCCCAGGACTACGTAAAACGGTTAAGAGATGCACAAGACTTTGCACAGGCAGCGATGGCTTCAGCCCAGCAGCGAAACGAGGTGAATGCAAATCGGTTTCGGAGACAACCAGATAAATTCAAAGTTGGTGACAAGGTTTGGCTAGATCTCCGGAATGTGAAAACGCCTCAACTATCTAAGAAGCTAGCCTGGCTTCATGCGAAGTACGATGTGACCGCAGTTCCAGACCCTTTAACTGTAGAGTTGAATGTCCCAGGGAATATCCACAACCGCTTTCATGTTGAGCTGATAAAGCGAGCAGGTGTGGATCCCTTTCCGAGTCAGCAGCGGGACGATGCTCAAAATCCGGCTATTCTTGACGACCTGGGGGAGAAAGAATACGAAATCGACTCTATAATACGGGCAAGAACAGTGAGACGTGGACGTGGTAGTTTCAGGCAAGCTCTAGTAAAGTGGACTGGATGGGCAGAGCCAACATGGGAACCAGTTGAGTACGTCGCAGACACAGAGGCTATAAAGATATTTGAGGACACCTACGGTCCTATAACTATAAATAATGGCCCTTCAGAGAGTAACTCGGGCAGATACGTTGGTCAGGCTGAGCCTCACATCCAAAAAACGCGGAGGGAACGCCGAGAAAAAAAAAAATATTATAAAAAAAATCATATATAATTTAATAAGTAAAATATCTTCCCCTTCAGGAAGAGAAGGGGGATTGTAACGGCTGTTAAGCCTAGGGATTCCTGTAGCCTACGCTGGCTAGCGCAGGCAATGAATGCAAGGGAATCTTCGGGAAGGATCTCGGAATACAAGGAGCTTAGAAGATTCTCAATGAACTTTCTGGAAGCATACTGAAGGTACATGAGAACCACAGGTGTATCAAGAATCTTCTAGGGTATTGTCGAGGATTCCATGTTATTCCAGATATAGGGAGAACCTTACAGAAGAGGGGTATCTCAGAGTGTATATATATTTGTATTCTAGCTATAGGAATTCTCTCTCTAGAGAATTATAATTAATATACTGTACTTACAAGATCGCCCAAGCATTTTGTACTGAAACCGTGACACCAGTTCTCGTATGGCGCCCCAGGCTTGCAGTACCCGTGCGGATGGACAAGAAACGGAACCGATTTCGTCACTCGCGTGACTTCGTCAGCAACCATCTTTGCCGTGATCTCGATGGGACCTGCAAGTGTGTTTATTGTCACCGGTACGGTGGCAATTTGCAAGGCAACCAGATTTGATGCTGGTTCCAGTTTGATTCCAGATTCGCTCCGTGACATGGAGGAATCTAGCAGCTCTTTCCGAGCGAGTTCGTTCTTTGCTGTCAGTGCAAAGCCTGTTTTGACCCGCTGAACCAACGTGATGTTGTCGGCAGCGGTACCAAGCACCTGTGACACAGCTAATCTTACGCCAGCTGGTGACAGGAGTCGGTGGGGGTGGTTAGCTTTGAGGCGTAAAAAAAGTCTCGCGTCGACTTTTGTCCTCGGATTGGCACTTTTTGCTTTTGGGGCGGGCGGTGCTGCCTTTGTAGTCGACGGCCCGGCGCTGCGGCCTAGACCTGCACGGGCTACTGTGGCCCAAGTCGTCTTTGGTGCCGGAGCCTGGGTTGTCGAAGGGTTAGGTACCCTAATTTCATGAGCCCTCGGCGGAGGAAGGTTGATGGGGCGCGCAGGGAGAGCTGGTGGAGTGCTCCCTGGGCCTGATTGTATGAACTGGCCAATGGCCGCTCGAAGGTAGACTTTGATGCCGTCTACAAACTCTTTTTCGTCGCCAATCGAGAGAGGCGAGAGTGCTGCTTCAACACTGCTTATTGCAGTGGAACAGATTGATAAACGTGCCTTGATTTGCGTCGTGCGACGCTTCTCGGCCTCCATCACTGATTGCAGCTCCGGTGGATATTCCGGTGCTGATGTCGAAGTTGCGCCTTTTGAGGCTGGCACAGCATTTCTTCCGGCAGGCAATTCTGCACGTTCGGTCGTCTTTTCTCTGACGACCTCCTTTCCTTTCCTGGGACTGCTTGCCTCGGGGGCCAGCTCGGCGGGTTTCCCGGTCTGTTGACCATTTATTTCTGTTCTGATCGGGTCAGAATCAGTCATCTCTTGATCGGGAAGGTTTGGAGACTTCCCAGGGATAAAGGCCTCACTCGCAAATAGGCTTGATAATTTTTGCGCGAGGCCAGGTGTTTTTGCAGGAGCCCTCGGGCGGATTCTCGCGTTGTCCAACATTAAGTTGGGGAGCTTTTTTCGAACAGGTGGCATGACGAAAATGCCAGTGACTCGATTACAATTTATTGAAGGGATGCGACGAGCGCGAGAGGGAGGGAGAGGGGGAGAAGGGGAATATTTGAAAATTCGAGTTTCAAAAAATTGTGTGCGTGTGTGTGTGTTTATTGTGCTACTTGAGTCTATGACTATCTAGCACATTGGGCTCCTCTCTGACCCAGGCCACACCTTGTACAGTGCTCCTATCCTCTTTTGTTACTTGAAAGATCATCGATATATTCCCCTTGATGAATAGCTATTCAGCTCAGTATTTACCCGTGGAATTCGGCCACCTTTTCCACGGAACCTTCTACCCAAAAAAAAATGGTAGAAATGGAAACTGCGTGCGCGGGAGAAAGTCTCAAGAAACCTGCAGCCCCAGCCGGGCGAAGTCTAGACACCGGGACCACATGCGGTGCGCATACCCATCTATATTTCCCTTCTCTGTAACAGTCGAGGTCGACTTGATCCAATCCGCCATCTCCGTATCGGATGTTGGGTACACTCCAGAAACTCATCGGATGGCATTTCCTCCATGATCAAGGGTTGGTGATGAGTAGGACTCCGACCTTACCATCTGATCTGATCGTGGTTAGCTTCATGATAATGGTGGAAAGGGAATGTGTTGAGAGATGAAGACGATACAGACCGCGAAAGCGATTGGGAATCCTCGTCGAAGTGAGGACTTTGTTACTCAATCTCGGCTCTGTAGACTCTACAGTGAGAGCTGGAGGTTCGTAGGGGACACCACTGACAGGTGTTGAGAATAGTCCCCCTGTCATTGCTGTTTGGTAGCTTAGCCCAACTTCTTTCGTGCCATCCAGGGCGCTGGGGAGTGCCGTTGACTCATCCACAATTGATTTCCTGGCTACTTAGCTAAAACATCAGTCTTGGCGCCCACACAAAATCCAAAGATGAAAACTCCTCGAAAATGTCAGTCCCAGCATGGTCTTCAGAGACCTCTTTCCCCTCTCGCTCCACATCTCAGCCGCCTGTCCTTCCTCAAGATGTATAACCCCATTAGAGCATCAGTCCCCCATAAACCAAGACCCCAACTTTGTATTTTTAGACTTGATTTCCTCCTTGCGGGTATAAATAGCGTCGTAAATGTGTAGTGAGTGATGGCCGGTGATGAATGAGGCAAGCTCCTATTTGCAATTGGGGTGACGCCTTTATCGGTCGGCGAGGCGAGATGATATGTGGTTAGATCGAGGTTGAGGACTTAGAAGATGATGGTGAGTGCTGTATGATTGAGAATTTGTCAAATAGAGGTATGCATGTGCTTGCTTTCGACTTCGATTCGGATGCGATTCTTCTTGGCTATCCTAGACATGCAGAGCATACTGAGCGATTACACCGGCACCACTAGAAGATGAAGAATTCGTCTTTGCCGACGAGCTTGAGGCACTTACCAGCAGTACAGTTTTCTAACCATATCTTCCTTCAGTAGGATTGATTCTGGTACAGGCTGCGCCTATCTCCTAGTGACTGTCGCACGGACACTTATCATTATTACGTCATTAGCCTTGCTATCTAAAGAGATGTCCAACTTGGCCATACAAATACAGGGTTGCAACAAATATGGAAACAAGATATTGTTGCAGCAAGTCTGATATGGAATCATGGGCCGATACGACCCAGTTTCGCTATGACGAGCCCACTCGGAATATCAAGGATATGGTGTAGTAGAATAGATAGTGAGGTTAGCGCATTGGGAGTTGGGACACCTTAAGTAGCCTCCCCTCGGTGGACAGTTCCGAGATGTATGTAGAAAATAGACAGTAATCGGCCACCATTCCTTTACTATATTGTTTTGTTGATCGCCCATCACAGATTCCGATATAATTTGGTAGAAGACTTATTCCAATTATCAGAGGGCTTTAACGTCTTTATCTATGTACAGGTAAATTCCCCTTTGTCATAGCTAGATAGCTGAATACAATATGATATTAAAAAAAAAAAAGGTAAATTCCCCATATTCCAACCACGCTAGCCGTATAGGACGCAGCATATATATATAATTCATTTTATCTGATTTGGCGCCTTGAGGCCCATGCAGGTTTTTTATCGGAAGATATGTACTTTAAGTAGGATGACTCAATTTGACATTAAGAACACTCACACTCAGATTTCATTTGCAGATACCACTCGAGGTTAACCCTTACGGCGTGTAACCTCTTCCGTGCATACCCACCACAGGGAAAAGTGTGAAAACCCTGTGGCTATCAGAGTGTGCCTTCATCATCCCACAAGTTCAATAAAACCGCGAGAGAGTGTTGTGTGAGGGCCGTACTGGATTCGAATCAGCTTTCTCCTGTCACAAATGGAGTAGGTGTTCAAGCAACCCAGTATTTTCTTTGGAGAACGGCCTGGATGGTGTACCACTGCACCATCCAACCCTGTATTTTTGAGAAAAAAATCTTTATGATCTTTATCGATATCTCCAGATTTTACTTAGTCTACTGATTTATTTAAATTTTGTCCCATGTAGCAGCGAGTGAAAGTTTGGGTTAACTTCTTCTTTATTATATTACGTCCCCTAAATAGGTGTCCCGGCTACTGGTATTGGGTGGGCTTCCGTGTTAAATACCCAATGGTTCACACCCTCATGCTCAACTTGCCACTCATCATCAGGCGCAAAAATAAGATAGCTATACTTGAGAACTTCGGCAAGCAAGAAACTATCTTGAAAATCATCATACCCACCACCATCCTTAGCATTTACATCCTTGAGTTCTGCAAAACCAGATCCAGTCCGACAAGTGGAATTTATTGCTACAAATGCGTCCCAGGCCCATTCGCGGTATTTTTCATCCTTGGTCGCACTATAAGAATAATAATAACTCTCAATTACTTCAGGGCGAAGAGTATAGTAGCCATCTGTGATGTAAAAGCCATTCTTATCGTAAAACTCTTTTTGGTTTGAAGGGGGCAGCGGGTTTGCCGTTTCATTGACTGCAGTATCGTTTGTGATCCAGCGAAATATTTCAGGTCCTATTCCGGTCTGAGTACTTGTGTAGGTATGATGACATCCATTGATAAGCTCAAGACCGAAGTCAACATATTTTTGTTCATTTAAGATTAACCCCCCGAGAATAAATGAGCCACCATCGAAGCATGTAACTTATTGACACGTCAGTGTGGTACACTACAATATCTCAGGGAATAATTACGGTGTTGTGATTCAAAAATTAAATTGGTGCCCATATAATCTGCCATAAAGGTGAGGTCGGGTCTGCTAGATGGATGGCTAGCGAGGTGGGCAATGGATGAGTCGGCAGCAAGAACCCAACGGTCCTTGTAGGTTCCAAACCTAGATGGATCATATGCATACATTTTGATGAGATATTCGTAAAAACTGTCACTTCCTGCCGACCACCCGCCATGGTCGTCTTCAAAGAGGCCAGTCTGGATGTTAATTCTATAGCCTACTAGGCCGGGCCATGGCTCTGATGTTGCAGGTTTAGGGTTAAGAAGATAAGACTCTCCTTTTTGAGATAGTTCTGCGTAGGTTTGGTTTCCAGTCAAATCAGATAGATGTGTCCATTCAAGAACAAGAGTACCAGCTGTAGCTAAGCCGTTGGTTGTCGATCCATCGGTAGATTTGTTAGCAAATATAAGTTTATTACTTGGAATTCCTGTAGGCGTATCAAACGCGTATGCAAGGTGGTCAGCAAGACGAACCGCTTGTTTTATTAATTGGTCGACTGCAGTCTTATTAGATGCAAGATTTGACAGGGGTCCAGACAAGAGATCATATCCTGGAAGTGTGAGTATGACATACATTCTCTCGAGTAGATTTACAGACCCGACAGTAAACCACCCAAATACCTTATGGTAGTTTCAAAGAGAGAGACTTTAGTGTCCGTATGATCAAAATCAATAGATGGAATGAGGGATAAAATTTAATTGACTACTTTCGATTCTTTCATTAGAATTGCAGTACTCAAAGCGTCTACGGCACTAGCAGCCCATCCGTTCCTGCGTGACATTAGACCTTTGGAATAATTTTTGCGGGTAGAATATTATTTACTGACCGTGAATTGCTGAAACTATTGGTGACTGGATGCAGCTCATCGTTTGGCGCAGCATATCGGTAGTATCCATCCCATGCGTGTAAAAACGCTTCCTTGACGGCGTTTGCTCTTGCCTGGTTTTTATCAATTCCGACTTGTCTCTGGTTGAGATAAAAATGAGGGCTTTCACATGTTTGCGCGGAAATAACTGTAAATGTAGCTGCAGCCAGAAGAGAAAAATAATACATTTTTGAAAGAGAGAAGTGGATATTCTGGCCGGAAGTTGATGATTTCTTTCGGCCAAGTAAGTGAGTGACGGAAAAGCACAAAACGAGAGACTATGTGTATTATATAACGACTGAGGTAGACAAAAACACTGAAGACCCAGGCTTCGGCGTTAGATGCTGTCGAAGATGGAGAAGATTAGGTCTGTGTAGGAATGTTCCACCTTTCCCCACTATACCAAATTGTAAAATCTTATTTTATTGAAATTCGAAGGTTCGAGTTGACGCTGTCGCTAGTCAACTGTAATCCCGCCCTGTCCATGGGATAGATAGCAGTAGTATGTATGTATGTATGTATTAATTTCGTTTCAGGCAAATGCCCAACACTCAAGTGGCATGATTCGGGATTGTGATCCCTAAAGACTCACGACTACCTATCTGACCAGCTTTCTAAGCTGAGTTGTCATTTGAAAAAGTACATATAGAAAATTACCCAGGGGAAAAAATACCCTGTGTCTTGCCAACTCTTGTGTTAAATTGGCAAAAGGTTAAAATTTCTTGAGATAGATTAACTTTCACGCTAAAGACAAATTGCAATACGTTACATCTCGTTACGGTATTATTAATTCATATTCTTGTCCTGTCTGAGTCTATGACTATATAGGACATATAGGTCCTTTCTGCTTGCAGGCCGGGAGTATCTATGCCTCCTTTGCGACTTCTTCTCAGCAGTAACACTCCCACAGGTCTTCATCCTAGTACACACCAAGGCCCGAATTTAGTTGCTCAGCGTGAATTAGCGAGATAAATTGCCCCAGACCGTCCAATGCACCTATCTCCAACAATGCCTCCGCCCTAGACCAATAAATCCTTCTCGCCCTATTCCACACACGTCCCCGATAATGTATGTCAAGCAAAAGCGTGCCGCCAAAGAGACTACCTCGGATTACATCAATCAGAGCCATAACCCTCCCAGAATAACCCTCCAGCCGTGGCGATTCGATGGAGTTGTGATTGACCATTTGGTCTCATTCCCCAAGGGATAGATAGTGATGGGGCTAATCTACATACTCGAATAAAGCATGTGTATTATAATTGTTAAAAACATATCATGGGGTCTTGAAATTTGAAGGCTAGCTTCTGTAGCATAGGATTGTCTTTATTATGTGTGATGTTTCCGAGATAGCCCTGATTGAATCAATTGCAGCCTTTTCTTTTGCATTGTGTGCAACGCATCCACCAGCCGCTCCCTACGCATAGTCTCATTAGTGACAGGGTATAGGAAGATAAACTGACGAGGTCAAATCTGGTGGATTAGATTGTCTAAAATGTATATGAGAACTCCTGACGAGATAATGGAAAGTTGAAATACAATAGAATTGAATTAGTCTCGTTTAACGTTCTATGCGGTATCTATATACAGAACCATGAATAGGGTAAGCCATGTTAAAAAGGGAAAAAGCTTTCAACAAACAAAACCAGATGTCCTACCACTCTGAACCATCCCGGCTTAATGCTGAGGACGTTCCTTTCAACCACAAATTTATAAGCTTTCCCCAGAATTCGTTAACTCCCCCTTCAATCAGACTAACTTTATTGGAAAATTAAATAGAGAAGGCACCTCCTCACTCGGCGTTGGTCTTCGAAGTGTTCGAAGAGTTGGCCCCGATGGTGGTGCTGCTGTCGAGGCGATGGTTGGTGCCACTGGGGCTTCGACTACCTTACGTGGTCGTCCCGGCCCTCTTTTGAGTCCTTCAGCCTTCTTACTGATGACCAAAGTGAATCCTTGATCATCAGTCGTTCCGAATGTTCGTATTGGCGCCATTGTTGGTTTTTTGTTCCAAATATCTGCCGTTCTCGATAACAGCTCCATGCGAGCCTTCTCCACACTTCTCTTGTAGACCTGGTAGGTCCGACATGCCGCTTTCTACCACGAACGGTGCTCCTTGCCGCAGTTCGCACAAGAAACTCTTTTCCTCGGACAGTCCCGAGTTTGGTGAGCGCCAGCGCACTCACTGCACCTAGCTGCCTTTCCACACGACACTTGTGTGTGTTCCCACTGGCTGCAGTTATAACACTGCTTTGGCTGGGCTTGTGGTGACCACACCTGCGCGGTGAAGAGCATGGCATTAATTACAAGGCCCTTTCGAACTACCTCCGTTTGCATTGCCTCTGATGGGAGGCTGACCACAATTGATCCTCGATTGCGACCGTTTTTCTTCGATCGCTGGTGCTCCTTTCCATCGTGTAGCCACCTGATTCGATTAATCACTAGGCCGGGAATTCGAGCCTTAATTGCTATCTCAATCTCCCTGGTGATAGCGTGGTTTTGGGCATCTCTGCCACCCTCAATTCGAGTCCGCAAAGGGACACCAGAAACCTCGACGGGAAAATCTTGCCGAAGAATCTTAAATTCGTTAGGTTGGCGCATGTTGAGCGCCGCGTCTCTCTGGGTCGCCGATTGGACGAACACCTCAGTGTCGTTGCTACGCATTCGACGAATCGCGTATGCGCCTTGGATATGTTGTTGTGCCTTTGTTAGCAGCTCTTGAGGCTGCAAGTTTTGTGCGCCGCTGATTCTTATTCCGGCCGCCGTTTTCGCCATTTACGGAGCTACGACCGACGCGTAGGTCCTTGGCAGCGACTTCCTTGACGACACAACAGGAGCTACTTGTCGTGCGGCGTCCGCGATACTTTTCTTTACCACCTCATACAACACTATCATCCTCTCCTCGATCGGAGATGGGATCTAGAACATCGTTGTCCAAGCCTTCTTGTGATAATTGAATGCCTTGACGCCTTCATTTACGTCTTCCATTGTTGGTAGGTCCTCCTCATCCATCTCTCCCATCACAATTAGTTTGACCTTTTTTAATAGCTTCCCTATTATTTCCAAGTTAGGATCCTTTAGAGCTATCTGCGCTCCGCTGCCGTTGTTTGATGATGCCGTTGTCGCATTTTGCGACGCGTCGAAGCCGCTGGATTTACCCACACTCGCCGTGTTGGAGCACGGAAAGCGAAATGATGGTAGGAGGGTAGTGAAGATGTAAAAATAATAATCACCATGTCAAATTGATAATACAGGCAGCGTGGAACGCTGCGCAGCTTCTGGCAAAGATGATTTTTTTTCTTGTCTAAGTACAATTAATATCACATGCCATTAAAGTGATACCACGTGACAGGAGACTTTATCTTATCTCTGTATATTTTTTTAATGCGTCAGATTTTAATTGGGTATGCAGCTATCTAGCTATGACATAATATCAAAGAAAAGTACATGATCGATGACTCGATGTAAAGAAAGAGCACTCATGCGTCGGATTTCCCTTGCAAGTACTACTGCGAAGTTATGGTAGCTTTTTTTTCACCCCAAGTCAACCCTCATCCGTGAATACCCGCCCAGGGAAGCGTCTCATAAACCCTGGGTTACCCAGACATGCTTCCATCATATGTTCAAATTTCTCCGCACGAAATATGGTCTTAGGTGTCTCCTTCCCAGGTGGATTAGGTGCCCAGGCTACTCAGACTATACCGGAGAACACCACCAAGAGGCGGACCACGACACTTTCCATCGTCGGCTTGCTATTGTAGTGTCAGTTACACTCTCGCAAGCCAAGTCTTGGCGCGCACAAAGCTCAATTTGTAAAAACTCCTTGCCAAAATTCGGAATCTCATGCCCTTCAAGACTGTATCCATCCTCTGCACCATTTTGTGAACTTGTCCTGATCCCTCTCACGGTCGTCCCAAAGAACTATCTCCTGTTATAATTCTAGCAGTCCTGCATCTGTTACGCTAGTCATGTACTATCTCATCTTCGTTTCCGTTATTCGTATCATTTAATATTGCGCCACATCTATTTTCTGTAATATTAATTAGTCTTGGCGCTTAACACAAGATATGTTGGAAATTATGGTATATGCATGATTCTGTCTTACACTCAGCTAGCTTGGGGGTCTACTGGTGGTCAAGACATACCTTCACCATGATAACGTCGCCATACTGGGACATGGGCGCGTATCCTGGCTTATTTCTAAATTCGTCTCAGTAGGACTAATTCCTGTATATATGTGTAGTGTTCTTCCCCTTCAGAAATCCTCAGTTCATTAGATTTACTGAATATCTCTGAAGGTCTATTCATACCCTCTTCGTGTCACCCTACCAAGCTTCACCCTTAAGCTCTATTCAACTGCTTCGTTGTTCGGCATATATCCTTCACCTCCCTATACCATTCCAGCATTCATCTACGATCCATAACCTCACAATATCTCCCAGATTTGTGCTCCACGCTTTGCTTCCTCCGTCGGGTATACATAACGGCATGGGCGTGTATCTGGCGAACAGCTGAGGCTAGAGAAAGTCGATGAGAAGTATGGTCATTGGAGTGAGGATGTACTAGGTCGTACATGTAGACTTGATGAGGCTTAGGTAGGATTCGATCTCTTTGGTGTTGTAAAAAGCCTGAGTCTATAACTGCACACACCATCAGGGGATAACTGTGCAATAGCTAAGTTAACCCCTTAGAGTCTTATCACTATTGTCTTCTTATCACTAAACACTGACATCAACGTGTTCACTACCATTAGGGCACCATTGTAGTTACTCTAGCTTTAATAGATAATAACATGTGGAGGAACAAGGGTAGGACCTCCTATGTATAGATAAGGCCTTTTTACACTTAGTATTCTTATGTAGATTATCCGTTGATCTTTAGATATCCATTCTATCCTCAGATAGTCTAAATACTTTTGCTGACCACCAGAATATTTATTCCACATTCTTCTTTATATATATACTATCCTACCACAATACTTATCCATCAAACCTCGTAATTATAACAGCTAACCCATCTTTTGCTCTCAGCGGAGATGGAGTAAATCTTGTCATCTGAAAGGTTTGACAGACGATGGAATGTGCGAGGAGCGCATTGCTTGGGTCCAATATGGAGGGATCTTCTATCTTTCGCAGTTGTTTTAATTTTCGTCTTTTTCCAGTTCTGTTTAATCGGCTGCACCTTTGGAAGCGAT